AAATGCAACCTTCTCTACTAGACACATAAAACTCTTTACAATTTGACTCCAACCTGTCTTTCCATATTTATTATACTCTACTCCCTTTTGCAAACTTTACGATCCAGCAAAATTGATCTCGCTGTCCCCTGTAGTCTATCTGCTGCCTCTGTTTTGCAGTCTGTCCCTTATGCACATAATGCATTCATTCCCTCCTCACCTCTGTTAGAATCCATTTCCTTCAAAGCTCAGTTGTAGCAGCACTTCCTACATGAAGCTTTTTATTTTCCCCATCCTAGAAGTCAGCACCCTCTGCACCCTTAATGAGATTGAATATCATTTGTTTATATTTGTTTAACTCCCCAATAGAACATAAGCCACTTGAAAGCAATGACTATTTCATTTATATCTTTGATGCAGAGCAAGGCATACTTTCCATTAATGAAGAGAAAGTCGCATACCAATGGGCTTTGGGACTGGGGTTACTTTTTTTTCCCTCAGCACTGAGTACAATGCTTGGCATACAGTAGGCACTTAATAAATGTTTGCTGATTATCAGTTTGGATCAGAGGCAGAAGAGCCAGGTTAATCACTACTGGAGATGAACTACTCCAAGTTGCTTTCCCCTATCTAACAACAACAACAAAATAATATTAGATTTGACAGGAACTTTATAAATCATTTAGTTCAGCCTATCAGTAAATGCAGGAGTCTCTAAAGCTTAAGTGTTTCCAGTGGCAGGGAGGTCACTGAATCAAACAAACAAACCAGGCTATTTCCTTCTTCTTTTCTCTCTCCACTTCATCTCTGCAGTTAGGGAACTGGTTTCCTTCGAATCCCAGCTAAAATCCTACCTTGAACAAGAAGTCTTTCCCCAGCCTCCTCAATACCAATGCCTTCCTTTTATTATTTTTGATTTATCCTGTATGTATCTTGTTTGTATATAATATCTCCCCCAATTGTGAAATGAGAGTGGGGACTGTTTTTTGTTACTGTTTTAGTTGTTTGCTTTCTTAGTATGCATGTGCCCAGCATAAAGATATCAATAAATGCTTTAAAAAAAACTTTTTTTGGGGGGTGAGGCAATTAGGGTTAAGTGACTTGCTTAGGGTCACACGACTAGTGTCAAAGTGTCTGGTCCGAGATGGGATTTGAACTCAAGTCCTCCTTGACGCCAGAGCCAGAGCTCTATCCACATTGCGCTATCCAAGCGCTCTCCTAGCTGCCCCCTGTGTTTGCCGTTTTTGTTGTTGCTGTTGTTGATTGGACATCTTCAGATCTTAGAAGTCCCTTGTAATGAGCTAAAATCTGCCGTCCTGCACAGAACCAGCACTCTAAGAAATCCTGAGAGGAGACCAAGGTAGCAGGCCCAGCTCTTCTCACTGTCTGGATGAGCTTGGGCAAGTGACCTTACCTTCTTCAGTTTCCTCATCTGTGACACAGAAGCTGCTAGCAGATTATACTGAAGATTCTTTCTACCTCTAACATTCCATTATCTGCTTTTGAGGAAATGCAGATCTATAATTTGTGTGTGTATACACACAAGCATGTACACATGCACTCATATGTGTACATACTTGTGATATACACATTTGCATATCGCAATCTACACATACATCTGCATGTGTTTACACCATGTATATACACATATGTGAGTCTCGGTGCATGTGCTGTATAGATGCTATTATGTGTGTGCAAATGTCAGATTCGTAGATTGTTGCTGAGGTTGGTGTCATATCTGACTCTTCATGACCCTGTACACTCTTGTTTTGTTTTGTTTGGGGCAGAAATACTAGAATAGTTTGCCATTTCCTTCACCAGTGGATTAAGGCCAATGAGGTTAAGTGACCTGCCCAGGGTCACACAGCTAGTGTGTGTCTGAGGATGGATTTGAACTGAAGTCTTCCTGACTCCAGGCTGAACACTCCATCCACTTTGCCACTTACCTGTTTCCATACATGTATACACATGTATATGCCTATTGTCGTATGTATGTGTATTTCTAAGAGAGTTGCCTGGGGTCCTGAGACATTAAATTACTTGCTCAGGGTCCCCTAGCCAAAATGTGAGAGGCAGAACTTGAATTCAGGCCACACTGATCCAGAGGCCAGTTGCCCATCCATTATATTTCACATGAGTGCTTAATAAATGTATGTTGAAGGTCCAAACTACAACAAATAAAGATCAGCAAAACGAAGATACCAATGTCATGACTTCTCCAATTGGGCTTTAAAATTCATGATCTTCCCTTCTCTATACCTTGCACACTACACTGGCTGCAATGTCAACACATAGTTAAGTTTGCTTTTATATCCTCGTTTTCTTGCTTCTGTAAGTTTTGTTATTGTATCTGAAGACAGTTTACATTAAAATTTTTTTTATTTCTTTTATACCCTATTCATTTACCAATATGCCACCGAAGTTCCACTAAACCCTCCAAAAAGTAGTTAAGCAAAACCAACAAAATGACAATGTTTGCAATATTATCCTCCAATAATCATCTTATGCCTCTTCAGTAAGAAGAAAAGGTTTATCATCTGTTCTTTGGGAGCAACATTGGTTACTGCAATTAATCTGAATTTTGATGCTGTTTATTATTACATATTTATTATTTGCATTTCTATTACTTAAGTATAGTCCTTTTTGTACACTGTGCTCCTTATTCTGCTTCTTTTACTGAGTCCCTCATGTGTACTTCTGGTATTTTTCTGAAAAATAGCTTTGGTCTCTGAAAAGTTCCATTTTTAGGATTTTTCAGCCCTGAACTGCTAAAGAAATATCCATAATGATAACTGATACTTATATTGTACTTTAAAGTTAATAGCGATTTTTATAAGCATCATATTATTTAATTACATGAGGGTAAATGCATATATTTATTGCCATTTTACAGATGAGGAAACTAAGGCTGAAAGTCAAGTGTATCTCCCATGGTCATGCAGGTTGCAGTATCAGAGCCAGGACACAATTCTAGGTTTCCCTTGACTCCAAGTCTTAGGGCTGTTCCTCCTATACCACACAGAGCTTTCTAAAAGTATTTTTCTCAAGAAAAGAGAGAAAAATAAAGCAATCATGGTTAAAAATATGTATGACAACGGATTGCTACTTTTCTTATTTCTATTAAACTTGTCTTCTGGGCTTTCTAATTTAGTATTTTGTTCATTTCTGGGCTTCAAGATTTAAGAAAGACATCGATAACCTGTAGTGTTCAGAGGACAAACAAGATGAGGATGGGTCCCCGAGTTCCTAACAGATGACGATGGGTTGGAGGAACTAGGAATATTTAGTGTAATGAAAAAAAAAGAAAAAAACTCAATGGGGATTTCAAGAGTTTGAAAGGCAGTCATTGTGGAGGAGGGCAGAACCAGGAGCTTTGAATGGTTTGGAGGTCTTCAGAAATTTAGGCTTGAGGTCAGGCCAAAACTCCCAACAATTAGAGCCTCCAACAGTGGAAATGGCTTGCCTAGAGAGGTGGTGAGGCCCCCCAATCCACTTCCAACCTTCCTTGGAAGTCTTCAAGCAGCGACTGACTGGATCAGCACTTGCACGATGAATCTGATTGTTTCATGTATAGTTTAGGATAGTTGCTCAGGTGCCCTTTAACTCGCTAACCCCTAGGTTTAGTGAAAATCAAAGTTTACATTTCTCTAAGCCCAAAAAACGGTTTTCAGGTTGAGAACTTGTCAATCACATAAATATACTTAGTAAATAGGGTAACATCACGTGATTAAAAATGAACCTTACTTTCACTTAATAAAAATTAGTTCATTAGGTGGAATACTATCTAGTTATAACGACTTCAAATGAAATTTAATTTTCTGCTGTAAACACTGCGCCTCTACTACTGTTATTTTAGTGGTTCCCAGAAATTGGAGGCCCCAGAAAATGATCTGGAATGCAGGCCTACAGAAGTGTACACTCTGCTGGCAAGAATAAGATTAGCCGGGCTGTAAAACAAATATTACCAGGGCCTGAGAACATTGTGTGCCTATTTCTGTCAAGATTATGGCAAGTTATCTTCTCTAAGAATTGAGAAAAGCAGACTTTCAGAATGAAATGTATATTCCATCATGCAATACGGGCCATTTTTTCTACTCTACATAGTTTTTAGTCCCGGTAAGGCCATGGTCCGAACGTTCCTTATTCCAAGAGCAGGGGCCCAGGGACCTTCAGCCCGGTCGTTTGGCAAGCCTGGACAAGCCGAGTGCTGAGTCAGAGCCTCTTCTTTTCTCCCTGCCGCGAAGAATCTTTCTCCCTTGAAAATTCATAAAGCTTCGGAAATGTTTAAATTAGAGTCTCCAGAGGGAAGGGGGCGGAGGAGCCGGGATGAATGTGGCAGGGAGGAGTCAGGCACTGCCAAGCCCTGCAGATGGCACATTAAGTGCTCGGAAGGCATGGCCAGAGGTGCCTGCCCGGGGTTTGCACGGAGCCCCCACTCCAAGGCATTGTGCGTGCGGGTGCCGGTGCGGGTGCGAATAACCACAGAGAGCTAGTTCGTGTTCCAGAGGTTTTATTCATTTTAGTTAAACGAAAATGCTCCGCAAGCCCAGCGCGCCACCGAGGCGGCTCGGGCCGGAAAATACACGCCGGCCGCAGGCCACCGAGTCCGGAACGCCTAGAGGCCGAGGCTCGGGAGCAGAGGATAAACAAACCCGCGGACCCGGCCTGGAACCCCCGCCCCGCTGCACCGAGCCCCAGCACCTCCCCCAGCTGCAGCCTTTCCCCAGGAAGTCGAAGGGTCGGCTCAGGGCTCTCACATGACCGAGGGGAGGGGCGAGGAGTGGACAGGAAGGAGGCGGAGGTGGGGTGTTACCCCAATGACCGCGAGGGGTGTGTGCGAGTCTTGGGGGAGGGTCATAACCGGGAGAGTTCACGGGCGTGTAACCACCCCACCAGACAACGAGAAAAATGTGAGGGAGGGGCCGTTGCCCAGGAACCTCCCGCGCCTCCCCCCCCGCCCCACCCCTCGCCAAGCACGCGACCCCCCCCATCCCCGCCCGCCCGCCGGCTGGCCTCTCTCCCAACCGGCTTTTCCTTTTCCCACGGCGCGAGGCCATCACGTCCCGAGGGCACGCACACCAGGCCCTAGAGCTCCTCCTCTCCCCTCCCCACCCCGTCCTCGGCCCCGGAGGAGGGAGGGGCCGGGAGAAGAGAACCGGGTGACACCGCGCTATCCCTCCCCCACCCCACACAGAGCCAAGGCGCGCGCGCCCCCGGCAGGAGCCTGCATATTAATGAATGGGGGGGAAAGAGAGCCTCAGCCTCGTGCCCGCGCGTGCCGGGGGGACGCAATTATGAGGTGGCTGTGACGCACATTCCGGGGTTCTTAAGGGGCTGCGGCGGCAGCGCCGGAGCCGGTATCGGGAGGAGTAGGAGGAGGAGGAGGTGGCTGTAAGGGGGGGAGGGAGGGGGTAAAGACGGTCAACCCCGCTCACTTACAGTGTGTCTCACTGACCTCCCCCCCTCTCCTCCTCCCTCCAACACACACTCCCCAAACCCAGTCCTAGTGGCAGCTCCGTTCCTGTCCCAGGTTTCCTAGGTGGGGCAGGCGAAAGGAAGGGGGGGGCGGTCTATCTCGGCCCTGGTGCAGATCGCCCCCTCTCTTCCCCATTCCCTTCTTCCCCCGTGGCTGTACCTGATAAATGGGGGATTACGGATTCGGGTTACTGCAAACTGCCCCGCTCCGAAGCAGCAGCCCCGGTCCCTCGTTCAGCGGCGGAGCTTACCTACCCTACCCGCCAATCCAAGCCCGTGCCGCCCCCCAGCTCTCCTCTTCCTTGCCCTTCGGCCCCCTCTCGCATCCACCGTTGCCTGTCACCGGTTTCTCCCCGGCCTCGACCCCCTCCCAGTTCTCCATCCCCACTAGCAGCGGTGGCGGCTGCAGCACCAGCAGCTCCGCCACCGCCTCTTCCTCCTGTCCTCTGTTCCTGGCTGCGGCCGCCGCAGCGCACAACCATACCATGCAAGATGAGCTGCTGCTGGGGCTGACACAGCCGCAGCAGCAGCAGCATCTCTCAGGGTCAGGGCTCCCCGAAAAACTCTCCAACCACCATCCCATCGGCAGCACGAAAGCGGGTGCGACCCACCTCCTCCCCTCCCAGGACTTCAAACCGAGTCTGCACCACCCCTCCTCCTCCTCCTCCTCCTCCTCCACTACCTCCTCCCCCCAGGACTTCAGCAAGCAGCAGCAGCAGCTGAGCAGCCAGAAGAGGAAAGAGTTCAACCCCCCCCACCCTCCCCACCCTCAGGACTTGAAGCAGCAGCCGCCGCCGCTCAACACCCCCGACCAGTACATCTCACAGCAGCAGCAACAACAGCAGCTCCACCAGCTCCAACAGGAGCAGCTCCAGAAACAGCAACAGCAGCAGTTCAGCCACCCGCACCACCCGCACCACCACCACCACCACCACCACCCACCGGACTTCCACCACTCCAAGCAGCCACCGGGAGACTACCATCCCCTCCCCCAGCACTACCAGCCCCAGCTTCAGCCCTCGCCGCCCCAAACCCAGCACCACCACCACGGGGGGGTGGACAGTCTTCGGAAGATCCCGGTGGCGACAGCAGCGACCGCAGCGGCAGCCGGCGAGGGGACTGTCGCTGAGTCCCCCAATGTGGGCTTGGTCCCCTCGACGCCGTCTGTGAATCCCCTGCCGGGCTTAAAGCTGCCCCCGTCGATGGAGTCCCCCAACCACCCCTTGCTCAACAGCCCCAGTAACCTCCTGCCAGGCGCGGGGCTCGGGGCCGGCGGCGGTTTCAGCAGTCTGCAGAGCCCGGACCTGCCTCACCCAGGCGGCGGCGGAGGGGGCGGGGGCCCCCCGGCAGCAGGAGGAGGAGGCTCCGCTTCGCCGCCGCCGCTGCCGGGCTTCGGCACCCCCTGGTCGGTGCAGACCTCGTCGCCGCCGCCGCCGCAGCCCCAGCAGCAGCAGCAGCAGCCGCCGCCCCAGCCCCCGCAACCGCCGCCGCCGCCCCAGCCCCCGCAGCCGCCCCAGCCTCCGCAGCAGCAGCCTCCGCCGCCGCCGCAGCAGCAGCAGCAGCCGCCGCCGCAGCCGCCGCCGCCGCCGGGCTCCTCGGCCGCCACCCCGGGCGGCGGCGGCGGCGGCGGCTGCGGCGGCCCAATCAGCGCCATGCCGCCGCCCAATCCGGAGACGGACAACAGTTTCTACCCGGGGATTCCGTCGTCGATCAACCCAGCTTTCTTCCAGAGCTTCTCGCCCGTGTCTCCGCACAACCCCTGCGCCGGCATGAGCGTGCCGGGCGGCGGCGGCAGCGGCGGCGGCGGCTTCGGCAGCCCTTTCTCGGCGGCTGCCGTGCCCCCGCCCCCGCCGGCCATGAATTTACCTCAGCAGCCGCCGCCGGCCCCGCAGCCGCAGCCCGCGCCCCCGGCCCCGCAGCCGCCGCCGCCTTCGAGCCGGCGGTCGCCTGTCAGTCCGCAGCTCCAGCAGCACCAGGCTGCCGCCGCCGCCTTCCTGCAGCAGAGGAACTCGTACAACCACCACCAGGTACAGGCCGGACCCGGGTGGGGTCAGCGAGGGTCAGCGGGGCCGGGGGCGGGCGGGCGCGGGACCGGCGGCCCGCGGCAGAGCCGCTCGGAGCGCGGAGCCGGGGCGGGCCGGGAGGGGGTGCGGGAGACTTGAGGCGGTGGGCGGTGGCCTGGGGGAAGAGGAGAAAGGTCAGGAAGTCACGGCGACCGAGGCAGAGGAGAAGCGCTTGCCCTGCAGGGCCAGGGGCGGCGAGGCCCAGGAGACCGGTCCCGGCAGAAGGCGGCCGGCTCAGGGGAGGCTCGGGGTTCAGGAGGGGCCCCCCGGATTGTGAGCCCTGAAGGACACTTTGAGGTCGACATTGGCTGTACTTGCCCTCCCCCTTCCCCCGCAACGCCCTCCAGTTCTCGGGTGGGGGCGGGGGGCTTCATTCGGGAGGGAGAAGGTCAGGAACGGCTGCGGGGGCGGGGGGCGTCGAGGGCTACCTGGGCTCTGGCCTAGGCCGAGGGGAGCGGGGAGGGAGGGGGAGAAGGTCGAGTGGCCTCTGATGTTGAGGAAGCGAGTAAGAGGACGGAGAACTGAGAGGCCTTGGGCCGGACAGGACTCCCCCAACCCTCCCCCGAACCCCTAACAGAAAAGGTGCGGCTGCAGGGGAGTATGAGTGTGTGTGTGTGGGGGGGGGGTGTTCGTGTGTGAGACTGACACATGTGTCACACGGTCAGTGAGTGAAGGCGCTGTACATTAGGGGTCAGCCGGCATTGGGGGCGGGGGGCCCCGAGGCCGCGTCGGGCCAGGTTGCGGAGCTCCGGGGATCAGGCCCGAGGCCGGCGTTGGCCGGCTCTGCGCCGCGGCTGCGGGGTGGGTGGGGCCGCTGTCAGCTCGGCGGGGCCTGGGGCTGGGCGCTGGAGGGGCGGGGGGACTGGGGGGGGTGTGTGTGGAGATGATCTCTAGCCCACTTGTTATCTCTCCAGCCCCGGGCAGGGGAACGCTGCTCTGGGCTAGTCGGAGTCCTGGAGTAGGGAAGGAGGCAAGTGTGGTACTGGGTTAGCTCTGTTTGGAAGTCACGGACATGGCATTTTGAATCCGAAAGGGCTGGCTGTCCCTCGGTCTTTGTCATCCACTGGAGGCTGTCAGATGAGTGAAAAAAAAGAAGTGGAGTTGTGACAAGCCCACATTGATGAAGAATGAGCATTGACCTAGGCGAGATTGTCTGGAGTTGGGTTTCATGTTTACACCTATGTGGTTGCTTTTAAAAACTAGGCGTGCTGAGAAGGGAGCAGATTTCAAAGGATTTTTACCTAAAAGCATTATAGTACTTGGGAGGAAGGGTTGGGGTGGGGTTTGATATTTTAAAAAAAAAAAAAAGAAGAAAGAAGTGAAATAACAGGCAGACTGTGTTAAGCTTTTTGCTTTTTTCAAGCAGCATCTTCTGACTGACCTTTAGTGACCTAAGCTTTTTTAATGGCTAACAACCTGTATTAAAATACAAATTATTCTCTGATTTTTTTTTTTGGTCAGGTCAGCCTTTGACTATATAAAATCTGATTTTCTCAGTCAGTTTTTCCACTGTTTTTCTTATAGATTGGTTAACATGACTTGGCAGGTGAAGCTTAAAACCAGATTTTCAAACTTTTCTGAAATGTGTGAATCTAGTGACTTCCTTACATTTTTTATTTTAACTAGCTTAAAGGTGTTTTGGTGTCTTTAGTCATAATTCACTAAATGTAGCATTTATCATTTTTGCAATGACTAGTATGTATTCTCACTGACAGTGAATGAGAATAAGGGTGTATGTATAAAAAACTCAGAGTTGTGAAATCCTATTCTACTTGTCTCTGATTTATGTAACCTTGAGTAAGGCAGGGAATAGCTTTGCATCGCTCTCTCCATTTTTTAATCTAGAAACTTGCCATAGAGAGCTATTACTAGTAGTTATTTATATGGCTCTGTCAGTGTGACAGACAAAGCTTTACAGAATTTATGCAGGGATTAGTATTTATCAATTATCAACTTTTAAACAGAGTCTACTAAAATCGTGGATTGTGATGGAATATATCAGCTAAATTTCTCAGGAAACTGCCATATACGCTCTTAAAAGCTGAAAACAGGGACAGCATAAGCTAATAGATGATGTATGCAATGTATTATTTAAACCCTGTTTTAGTAGAAGAGGAAACTGAGGACCCAGAGAAAATAAGCTATTTGGTACAAATTCACAGAACTAGTTAGTACTATTTAACTTTTACACTTTAAACATTCCACATGTATAGTAGATTGGCATTTAAGAATTAAAAATTTGAATTACTACACTTGAATACCAGAGATATTTTGTATCACAGTTAACATTAAATGAGGTTTTTTACCCGTCTTTAAGTTAAAAAAAACACTTCTGATTTTTCAATGGAACAAAAATGTCATTCTGTATCTTAAAATAACTTCTTTAAAAAATAGTATTTTTCTCTAAAAACTGAATAAGGATTGTATTGTTCTCTTCCTCTCAAATAAGCAGCTTTTATAGTATTTTATTATTGCTAGCTTAATCTCAGTGGATCCACCTATAGGTAACATCAGACAACTGCTTAACAATTCTTAAAGTGATTGAATAGCATGGAATTTTTTTTCTTTTTTCTTTTCTTTTTTTAATAATTTTTTTGAATGGTGCTGAATAACATTGGTAGAACTGGAATAAAGGACCTTTTATAGTTGATTGGGAAATTAAAAAAAATACTGTACTTTTCCCAATTCTTCCTCTATCCCAAAAAAATTTACTCATGTAACAGAGTAACTCCAAATGTATCACTAGCCATTTTTGTAGCTATACTACTTTACTTATTTAGACTCAAAATCTAAAATATTTGTTATATGGTAAGGGATATTACATTTCCTGACAACCAGAAGACTAATTTATTTTAAAGTTATTTATGTGGATAGCACATTATGATATTTTAAGTCATCCTTTAGGTTTTTTTTAAGATCTCCCAATTTGAATTCCATATAGATTCTGAAGTGCATTTTTCTCTCCTTTATATTTCATTTGTGTTAGTTTCCTTAATTCCCGAAAGAGTGAGAATTATATGAATCATCCTGTCACAATACCTGTATTTTAGCGGTAGTTATGAAACCTCAGCTTGATTATAATTGTGTGTTTGTGAAAGATGTCAAATAGTCACCTACCACTAAGATTTGTTTTAATGGCAAAATTTCAAGCCTATTAGTTTGCGTCATTTCTAAAATATACAATGTGGCATATGAATCTTTAATGATACTTTAGGCAGTTTAAATAGGTATATATATTTGTTGCAGATTAAAAATTTTAATTATTATAACCTGTTTTTGATGTTTCAAAAGTAATTTAACTGGATGTATTTCCCCAGCCTCTTCTGAAGCAGTCTCCCTGGAGCAACCATCAGAGCAGTGGTTGGAGCACAGGAAGTATGTCGTGGGGAGCAATGCATGGCAGAGATCATCGTAGAACTGGAAATATGGGAATTCCAGGAACTATGAATCAGATTTCTCCTTTGAAGAAACCATTTTCTGGTAATGTCATAGCCCCACCAAAATTTACTCGATCTACTCCATCCCTGACACCTAAATCATGGATTGAAGATAATGTGTTCAGAACAGACAACAACAGTAATACTCTCTTACCCTTACAGGTAAGAATGGTATGTAAATGGAATTATCTCTCGTGTTAATTTTTTTTGTAGTAGCAAATTGAGTAATGATATCCTAAAATTATTAATTGGCTATTCAAGAAAATCAGGTTTTTAAAAGCTTTTGTTTTTAACCCAATTATAGCAAGTATTTAATGAAGGCTAAAATATATGAGTAAACTTTGAGATGAGAAATTGCAGTTTCCTTTTTGTAATTAAATGATCTTATAATTGCAGAAAAACTACTGTATATTTTAAAATTCTAATCAAAGCTTTGGATTGGCAATCCAAAGAAGGATCATGCTGTATTTATTGATCAAATAGCCACCAGAGTTGACTTCATCTAAAATTAATCTATATTAATCTGTATTCCACAGTTGCCATAATTCTTAATATATTTCACTATGACCAGCTGTATGTATGTTAGACTGTACTTAGTACAGCTGTATTAATAGCAAAAAGCAACTTCAGGGCTTTTTGCATAGAATTCACATTTATGGTAGCTGTTTCAGAGTGGACTTCCCACTGGCTTATCTATCCACACATCCTTTCTAAATGTGGCCTAATAGTTAAAGCAGAGATCCTAGACATTTTCCAGTCCCTTTGATGTTTGATGGGATTGTAGGCTAATTGAAGTTCCATTATGTCTAATTGCTAATAGGATTTTCTGCAGCAATCTTTATTGATTTGGGCCACTAAATGAAACATCTATAGGGTAGAAAGAATTTTGGTGTTTGTTTTTTAAGGGTGGGTGTGGGGAAGAGAAGAGAACTGCTCGTTTCTGATGAAAACTTCTATGCTATTGAAGGTGAGATCTAGTTTGCAGTTGCCAGCTTGGGGCTCAGATTCACTCCAAGATAGTTGGTGCACTGCAGCCGGAACATCCAGAATAGACCAGGTAGGCTGCACAGCGAATATTTTTCAGGATTTTGGTTAGGAGTTAGTCTTTCTTTCTATGTGATTTGGGATTTCTCACAATTTATTAATTGCTATCCATTTATAAACATGTTCAAAACTTGTCAGAAGACATAGATATAACTGCTTTGTTTTCTTGTGTCATCTATTTCAAATTTCCATATATGCTGTATGATTGTAAAATGTTAAATTTATTTTGGGGAGGGGGAAATCTTAATTTATCATTGGGATAAACGCACCTGACTTAAATCATGAATGTTCAGTTCAGTTAATGTATTTAGCTTAATCCAAGAGGACCTACCATTTTGTTTTAAGCACAAATTCATTTAACTACTTTAAATTTCATTACTGTTTTCTACAATTTAAAGTTAATCTTTGTCATGAAATCTAGTTTAGCCTTAGGATATGTTTCTGCCATGCCCACTCTTTTTTCATTCAGTTTTCTTCAGTATTATAAAAGGAATCTTATGAGATAGCTTCTAAATATAAAAATGTGTATCTCTGTGTGTGTGTGTGTGTACGTACGTACGTACTCGTGTGCACATGTGTGAATATTTTTTAAATAGATAAACATTTAATCTAAGTTGAAGTAGAGAGACCAAAACTAGTCTAGTATTTCCCTGTTCTAAACAGCATCTTTATACTAACATTTGAACCAGAATTTACAGGTTAATCTTAGCCATCCCTCTCCAGGCTTAGCCTGGTCCTGTTCCAAGCCCTTTAGGGTTAAACATGTTGTCCATCTGCCTGTAGGCAGCTAGTATTTGTGTGCTTATTTGGTGCTAGATGATGGGAGATTAGGATAGGATTGCAAAGGAAATAAAAAGCCAGTGGACTCTTTTTATGGATAGTTTGCAAAACCCTTTCTTACTCTAAACACCTGTTTAAGTGGATAAGGTTAATACATTACCTAAGGGATAATGCTGTTACATATAAATATATCTTAAGTTTTTGTGTGTGTTTTGTCTCTGCAAAGGGACAAACTGTATTCTAAGAAAATAACAGGTACTAACCTATTTTAAGAATAGGCTAAATGGTATCAAATAGGTGCTAATTTACAAATGAATTGGATCTATTTGTCAACAAAAATTCACTGGAAAAATATTCCAGATAGAAAATATTCTGAAATTCACATGTACCATATTCTAAAATCCAGAATAATTTAGCAGTTACGGTACCATAATTTTAGGTAGGGACTGGATCTGTGATTTCCTTAGTATAGGGAATGCTCTGTTGAGAAAACTGTTAATACAGTTTGGCACCTCTGTAACTTAGAGAGTTGCCTAAAGCATTTCGAGGTTAAGTGACTTAACTTTGGTCAGCTACCCAAAAAATTTCTAGTCTGACTCGGAAGCAGGATTCGAAACCAAGTTTTCCTAGCCTCGAGACTGGCTTGATAATCACTATGCCATGCTCCCTCTGTTACTATTATTTTATTACATGTAAAATGCCCTGTATTTTGGATTCATCACTAATTCATACTTACTGTCTCCACTTAACCTGAATTAGTGAGGCTTTATTGTAAAACAAATCAGTTTTAGTAGATATTCTGTACACAAATCCCATAAAATAGGTAGAAGAGGGAATATTTTAATTAGGGAAAGTTTACTAGAGGAGGTGAATTTTAAAGGAACATGGATTGACTGAAGATCTGAGAGTGAGAAATCAAATTAGGCCTTTGTGGTAGTAATAAGCAATCGGATTGTGGAGAAAGGGCAACTTAGTAAAAGACCTAGACTAGCATTTTAAAAACTGAGAATGGGTTTGGATTTAAACTCTGTATTTACTAAATTCATTTTGACTTCTTTGGGCCTGAGTTTTTGCCTGTATAAGATGAAAGAGGGCTTCTAGACCTAATGTTCTGTGATGCTTTAATATTTAGGCATTGTTGGAACTGGGCCTGATGAACAGGGAGTCCCAACAAATGAGGAACCGGAAAAAAAAAAGTAGTAATTATTCCCATTACTTCCATGCTGCCTGTTATTCCAAAACCTATTATTTTTAAATGATGAGGTGAATTGAGATAGCTATCATAGATGGAAGTCTGATGTTCAGCAATTGTGACAGTAAGTTACTAGACGTGCACTTATATTTTGTTATTGTGCGAAATATTTGCCTTTGGCTCAGCAACTTCACATAGTCATAAAATATTCTAAAACTACTATTTTAGTTTGTTTATTAACACAAGGATTTTTCCTAGAAAAAAAACTGTAAGTTTTAAAATTAATGTTACTGATTGGTCTTGTGCTTTACGCATAGAAAGGCACTTAATATTCACAGATTATTTCCATAAAAGGTAGAAGTTTTCATAGTAGAGGTTCTTAAAAAATACATCGACCTGACAAATAATGAGCGCCTTAACTGATCGATTTATAACTATCACAAAAATATTTTACCCATATTTTTTGCAATATATATTTTAAAATTTAAGAATTTGGTGTTGAAATTTTTGCATTCAACTGCTTTAATCACTTTAATTAGAGGGATTATCTCACTTTTGTTAGTTTTCCAAGGGTTTTTTGGTTGTTGTTTGTTTTTGTTTTGCCTTCTAAAACATTCTAGGTCTAATATCTTAGGTATACTAAAAACTTAAAAGTACTATGTTTTGAAATTGACCTCTTCAAGTCCATACATAGGGTTAGGGTATATAGCCTGTAGTATAGCCTGCTACTCCTATTTTTAGCCAAAGGACTCTATAGATATCTCACACTTAAGAGACTGTGCATTATGCATCTTTTTCAATCATGTTTGCCAAAGAAATCAATATGATAGAATTGTCAAAAAGAAAAAGCAGAATTAGAGAAAACAGATTGAACATCTTTTACTCAAAAGGCTGATTTTTTTTTGTTCAGTTTACATTTTTTACTATTCTTTAACAAAACATTTGGTTTTGATGATTTTTTATTTAGGTAGAAAAAATTCTTGATTTTAAATTGAAAGTTTTCCCTTTTAAATCTTATTTCAAATGTATATAGTTCTTATATCAAGATGTTTTATTTCATATTTTCAATCCAGATAGTGTGGATATTTGTTACATTAAAAATTGAAGTACACGATTTGGTCCCCATTTTTAAAAATAATGCTAGTTTTCTTCATGTATATTTGTATAACTCTGACCTTCGTCTGTACCAAATAGAGCTTAATATTTTGGAATCTTTATCTAATGGGGCACACGTTTACTAATACCTCCTAATAGCTGTATTTACTGATATTTCCTTTCCCATGTCAGCATGAAGCTAGTGGAAAGAACACAAGTTTTAGAGTCAGAGAACAAGGATTTGTATTTTGGCTCTGCTTTGTCCTGTGTGACCTTGGAAAAGTCATTTTGCTTCTCTTGGCCAGTTTCCTTTTCTGTAAAATGAAGAAATTTGATGGGATGACCTCTAAGGTTCTTCCTAGCCCTAAATCTTAGTTCTAGATTCTTCTGAATGGTGGCATGCGTGCCTTTTCTGCATCATCTTTTTTCTTTAGATATATTTCTCCTCTACACAATGTGGATATTATCTTAGGATCAGTTTAAGAAGGATATATTTGCAAAGATGATTCTTAAAATTGAGGGCTGGCCACAGAGTCAGGAAGATTCAGGTTCAAGGCTTGCCTCTGACCCATGTTAGCTGATTGGCCATGGGAAAAAGTCATTTAGCCTGGTTCGTGTTCAGCCTCTGACACATATTAACTGGATGACCATGGAAAAAGTCACTTAACTTGTCAGTTCCCTAGGCATCTCTGCAAAGATTATAAGTAATAGACAGGTTTCAGTCTGCATCATTGGGGAAGGAACTGGGAGTTCCCACACTGATTAGATCACAGATTTGAAATCACCCTCAAACCCCTCCCCCCCTCCAAAAAATGAGATAGATAGTATTAAGCAAGAAAAGCTACTGTTCCTAGTAATAATGTGGTTTCTCAAATTTCTGAGTAGGTTGAAGGGGCCATTCCAGTCCACACTAGCATTGCTACATACTTATCCAATATCTGATTAGGTTTGTGGTACCAGTGTACCTTTTCCGTACTTCTTTCATCTTAAACCAGAATTTGAGGAAAAGCTCAGTCCTTTCTGAAATGAGCAGATTTCGAGCAAGATTACAGATACTCTCTTTACCCCCCACCCCCAACTTTTAATAGCATAGCAATTCTGCCCTAGTTTCTTTATGAGACATATAGAGCACAGGAGAGATTTATTTTTTTTTTAATTTTTCTAGGCAGTTGGGGTTAAGTGACTTGCCCAGGGTCACACAGCTAGTGTTAAGTGTTTGATCTGAGGTCACATTTGAACTCAGGTCCTCCTGACTTCAGGGCTGGTACTGTATCCACTGCACCACGTGCCTGCCCCTTCAGTCCATAAATGTGACATAGGAACAATGGAAATCAGAGGCAGAAGGTAGAATGTTAAATTCAGAGAACAATTCCAGTTTGTTTGACTAAAACAATATGATACAACTACTGTGGGTATCAGCATGGTATGTGCAATACAAGGGTCAATATGTTATAGACAGTACTTGTGTGTTAGGGACATGGAGATTGTTTTTCCTAGATTAAAGACTGCACGCTATTAATTTACCTATTTTCAAAAGCTTGTGTTCTTTGAATTTAAACTGAACATTCTTCTATAAATGTAAATGTAAAGAGACTATTTCTTGTGACATGTCCTTTTCCTTCTGAAAATGTTGTATTCCTTTGCAAGAAAAAGTTGTCTTTGAAATAGGGTGGTGATTTGGTTATAATACTATAACAAATTATGTCTTGCCATAAACTTCTCGTTTGATGTAAATTTAGTTTATTATATTATTAGTGATACCTTGGTAATATTTTTATGCTTTATTTCTCCCTAGTTATTTCTCAGTCAGGCTATACACATTTTCTAAAATTGATTGTTTTCTTTTCCCTAATAAATTAAGTTTTTCCAAACTCTGCTTTCTTTGTTTTTCTCTTCTAAATATTTTCCCTTCCCCCCCCCTTAGATTTTGCTTTGTGGTACACCCC